TAGGATCTAGTGGAATGCTAACACCCTTGAAAATGTTTGTGAAAATATGCTAACATATATGCATAAGGTGATACACTTGGTGGTTGACACATTTGAGCAAGGGTGAAGAAGATAGAAGTGAAAAAGTGTTAGTGTCGTTGGGCTATCGATGACCCGGACGTTGACCTTTTTGGGGGACCGACGCGCGTCCGGTCATGTATGGCGATGAAGACGCCCGCGTCGATGAATGACCGGACGATTTGGGTCATGGATAGACCGGACGCTAAGGGTCTGGGTCCGATCATGTTGTCAGCGGCACTGAGAAGAAGTTATAGTATAATCGGACGGCAGAGCGAGTCCGGTCAAGCATGACCGGACGCCGCGTCCGATCGCAAAATCGTTTACGGAACCTTCTTCGGAAACGACCGGACGCTGGAGGCCGAAGCGTCCGGTCGATTAGAAGTGAGCATCCGGTCAACAGATGACCGTTGAGATCGACGACTCTGTTGAGCGTAGTGTGACACGTGGTCGACATCGAGCGCACGGACGCTGGGTTCAGAGTCCGGTCAGTATGACCAGAGCGTCCGGTCACCCCGCGCTGTACCCAGTGAAGGGGTACAACGACTCTATTTCGTGGGGGCTTCTATTTAAGCCCCATGGCCGATTTAAGCTCACTCTCTTGGCCATTTACATCGATATAGCAACCTTATGAGCTTAGTTAAAGCCCTCCCACTCATCTCCATCATTGATTCATCATCTTTGTGAGATTGAGAAAGAATCCAAGTGCATTGCTTGAGTATTTGCATCTAGAGGCACTTGGTGTTCGTGTTTCGTTGCGGGTTTCGCTTGTTACTCTTGGTGGTTGTCGTCACCTAGACGGCTCGGAGCAGCGAGGATCGTCGAGTGGAGGGTGGTGATTGTCTTCAGCTCCGATCGTGATGATTGTAAGAGGTTCTTGACCTTTTCCCGGCGGAGCGCCAAAAGGTACTCTAGCGGATTGCTCGTGGCTTGTGTGATCCTCATCTTGTGTTGGTTGTGCGGCACCCTATTGAGGGTTTGGCATGTGAAGCCAATTAGCTCGTGAACCTCCAAGTGAGTGAATCGCCACAACGAGGACTAGCTTGCCGGCAAGCAAGTGAATCTCGGTAAAAATCATTGTGTTCATCCTTTGATTCCGAGGTGATTGGTCTTCATTGTTATTCACTCTTGTGGTTGATTGGTTCCTTCATCTACACGGCAGTATAATTTTCTTGATCACTCTTTTTACCTTACCGCAAACTAGTTGTCGAGCTCTTTAGTGTAGCTAGTTGTGAGAGCTTGCATGCTTGGTTGGTGTGGCTCTTTAGTTAGCCTTTGAGAGCACACTAACATAGCTTAGTATCATAGCTATTGTGTGAATAGATACTATCTAATCTAGAATTGTGGTAGGTGGCTTGCATTTTGGTAGGCTAACGTAAAACTCGCTTCGCCTTATAATTGTCTAACATTTTTGTTAAGTGTTATTGTAGAAATTTTTATTAGGCTATTCACCCTCCTCTAACTATTAGGACCTTTCACCGTGACGAGCCTCTCCCCTAACTTTTGTCCTTGTCCTTTCATAGAAAAAATTATTTCTTTTAATTTATAATTTGTTATATATGATCTGTGCCAAGAAAGAAGATGAACAGAACCCATGGCGGGAGCGGGCGGCGGGAGGAGGAAGAAGACAAATAAAAAAATCGTCTCCCTCTCTCTCAAACACTTGAATCCGAGATTAGAGATATTCTAGAAATTGGACGGCAGTGGTAACAGATGCCCGGGTAAACGAGCGCATAATCGCATTTGCGGCGCTGTGGCATCAAACGGTCCACTGAGGGCGTCCCCAACAATCAGCTAGGAGCTAGCTATTCTCTGACGTGGATGAGAGAGAATCATAAGAAAACTCGTCGCTGGTGACATGCTCGTCGCTAGGCTCGCACACTTCCCCAAGAATCGCTGGTCTCTGCTCTTGTGGCCCACATCATTAGCTGTGCAGTCTAAGTTAGTATTTTATTGTTTTGTTCGTACACCTCAGCCGGCGATTTACGGGCGTTGTTGGGGACGCCCTGATGAGGTGCGTTTGCGCGACCCCGTACGTCCCCCCTTCCCTTCCTCACCCACAGCCCAGGCGGAGAAGCCACAGCCCCACAGCAGGCCGGCCGCGAGCGGCACTCGTCAGAAGTCGCGAGCTGTACCGTTCGGCCGCCAGGCACGCACCAGGCCGGAGACACCGATAGGCGATAGGCCGTGCGCTGGGTGCCTCGGTCTGGGTGACTGGGTCACGCCTTCAGGGTCCGGGTGCGTAACTGCGTAGTACACCTCGATCCGTGCACAGTGCACGTGCACTCGTGCGATCCATAGTAACCATTGTGGATAGAGTCAAAGGGCGGATCATAGCCGAGCAGGAACTGGCAAAGCTAAGCGCATGATTTCACCGAGAGAGCTGCGTGTAACATACGAACAACAGTTGTGCACCGTAACAAAGCTACGACAAAAGAGAGGTCGATCGAGGATGATGACAACTAAGGGCAATTTGTCAACGATCGATGGACGCGGGTAGATACTTTGTTTAGCCTCGATACAGCGGGCGCCCCCCGGTTTCGTCGACAGATTGTCATCAATTGCATATTCTTACCAGGTACCGTGCTTATTATACTGAGGATCCAGCAAATCGTTCAGTCAGAACCAAATTATCATTATCTAAAAAATTCACACCCAAAATATGATAACGGCAACTTGTCTTGCTACCAAGTACTTGTACTTCAGTGTAGTACTAATACAAAGATGCCTGCCCGTCAGAAGAAGCTGGAAGCAAAGCAAGGTTGCAGACGCAAAGACCTACTTCTACTTGCTCATCTCTGCAGTCTGCACTCCGCATTTGGTTGCCCACGGACCACGGTGAATGCTCAACTGCTTAATTACCGATCATTTTGATTCAACCTTTTTTTTCATTTTTTGTGTACCATATGCAAGTTAGCATGTACAGTACTGCTTCTATTTTTTTGTTTTTCTCAATACTGTCATTATTATTTCTGATACTCTGTGCCATGAAAATTGAAAACACAGTGCATTTAATTTGGCAGGTCGTCAGCACCTTACTAGCACTAATGGCCACCAAGTACATCATCGGGTCGGTGGCGGCGTCTTTCACCTTCGCGTACGTCTGCGGCGTCTATGTCGCCGACAGGAAGGTCCTCGGAGGTGAGGTGCCAGCCACCGGACGCTCGGCTGGATTTCTGTGAGCTATTAAGCCGGCTAAAACTGATTTATTGTTAGAAAAAAACGCTGTTACATGATTGATAAGCTAGTTGATACCTCACTGCTGCTTTGTCTGCATGCACAACTCTACGGACCGTGGCGACGAACGAGTGGTGACAGGAGACGGACAAGAAGTTCCAGGCATGGCCTCACACCGCCGGCCCAATGACGATGTACCTTATCGTAGCTTGGTTACATGGTAGGAGTAGCCAATATCCATGCGCTTTCCAATTCTGTTCCGAGTATCATGTGAATTTGTTGTTCGGCATGAACACGATAGAATGCTGGCCTTTTTTTTTTCTAAACAAAAGTACTTGTACCATTGTATGGCGACTAAAGATTATGAAGACCTATAAGTATCTATACAACATGCATGTGTGTGTTTTAGAGGCTCCATTGCAAATTCCACAAAAACTCAATTCGGCTTTGCTCATTCGTCTAAGTGCTATTTTGAGAACAAGAGATCAGAACATCGAAAGGGGCGACTCAAATTCCTTGGTTTTGCTGGGTACTGAGTCAATTGGATTTGGATCACTTGTTTATTTCTGAGTTGCTATTATTTTTCTCAATTTCTGTCAATAAAAGGAGGGATTCATCCAATTCCTTGTTTTTGTTTGGTACTGAGACAATTAGATTCGATCAGTTATTTACTACTAAGTTGTTATTATTTTCTCAATTTCTGTCAACAGGAGGGGCCTAGATGTATGACGGAGTGTCCACAACCTGTAAATAGGCTAAATTTTGCATGTCTGCGGGTAGCCCGAAAAAATAGACTATTTACGTGTCTATGGATAACCCGCCTTGCAACCCTAGAGGGATCATCGAATTCCCTGGCTTTGTTTGGTACAGTGTCAATTCGATGGGATCGCTTGTTTATTACTGAATTGCTTTGCTTTTATTTGTAAGCTGAGTATCTACACATTGTTCCATATAAAGTATCTCATATACCACTGAATCATAACACAAATATAGATACATACATGTATGCACACACATCCACAAATGCGTGTATGCACTCTACCCGTTTGTTATTGACAGCTCAAAGAATAATACATTTAAATCTTGAAATAAATCCATGAATATGAGCACTTGGATCATGTCAGAGATCACTGTCGGTCTAAACCCAGCATCAGTGTTAAAATTGGATCCGACGGCGGGGCAATAGACAATGATGGGCTCACTTATCACTGCCAGTTTCCACACCTGACAGTGATATCAACTATCGGGTCAAGGCTAGATCTGACCATTAATTTCATTCCATTCAAACTTAAACAAAAGTCATTATAGTTATACTACACCTTGCATCACTTACAAACCATGTCATTCCGCGTTACATCACTTAACAAGAATTACCACTTCTAAAAAAACTCAAGAACACCTATGAACAATACATATCACCAATTCATCCGCAATAATAAAACCAAACTTATGGTATCCATCTTGCCATCATCAGCAAGTTTAGGCTTCACATCCATCTCTACTAGATCATCAATCATGTGGGGCCTTGACTTCTAATTTGCAATTTTCCTTTGCTATCAATGTTGGCAAGCACTTTCCTATAATCAAAGCTACCAAAAAACAATCAAGACCGAACTTGCATTAGCCAAATTATCTCCAAATTCTCATCATAATGAGATGAATTATAAAGAAACGACAAGCACTACTTACATATTATCCATTGTTCACCTAGGAGTTGTAGCAGAGTCCCTAGCTGGGCTACAGTCACTCGGCGATAGGTGTAGTCCATGGCAGTAGTGGCACAAGTCCTCAGTGACTATAGCGGAAGAGCTCCTCGCAGTTGCTATGGGAGGACCCCTCGGATCCAACAGCGGAAGTACCATGGGGCGCTCGCTCTGCACCACGGTCGACAGCCCAAGACCCTCCTCTCAAGTTGTACTTGGGGGTCAAGCATGGTATGCCATGGTACTATGGTAGACGACCGATGTGGCATGAGCCGACCTACCAGCCTCTTAAGTTCCTCTGTACTACTATAGCGAAGGCATTTGACTCACCTCGCTGACCAAGGGAGGAGGGACAAACAAGGATGAGTCTTCTCTAAACAAGGATAGATCGACAAAGGTCCTATTTGGATCATGTGACTAACAACTAGTTAACTAATTTTTAGCCCATGAAGATCTAAATGGATGAGTTAATGGGATGGACTAATATTTAGTTAAGCCCCAACTAGTTGTTCGTCCGATAACCCCCTAAATTAACATCTAAATTACCCACATACGCTATTATAAAAAGATATTTCAAAATAACCCCTAGCTCTATATCTAAATCACACGACTCTAACATTATGAAACATACCTTAAAGTAACACCCTAATATTTTTTTATAAATTATCTACCTTTGCTATTATCATAGATATTTTAAGTAAGACCTTTTGATTTGTATTACTTATTGAGGCTCTAACGAAGGTTCCATGTTAATCCTCACCAGACACGCCAAGAAAAAAGATAAATCCTAGAAACTCTCATAATAATTAGAAACATGTGGTCTTCAATTTGATAGACTCTAATCACCATCATCAATAATAACCATTGGACGTATTTTGATTTATAAAAATTTAACCACTTTTGTCATTATAAAAATTGTCAAAAACCAGCTAATTGGGACTAATAGGGGCAACTAATCTTGAAAAAAAAGTCAAAAACACTCTTTCCTGGTCTTTGCGTGCAAGTAGTTAAGGGGCATAAATATCTTTACGTGTAAATAGTACTATACATTAGTCATGGGATAAGACTAATTTTTAGCTAGCTAACTATAAACCCCAACAATTAGTTATAGTACTATCCCATCTAAGGCCTTGTTTAAATGTGTATGTATTCATCTCAATCCACATATGTTGAAGTGGAATTAAACTAAGTTTTATTTTATTTTACTTCCACACATGTGGATCGAAGTGAATACATATGCATCCAAATAAGCCCTAAACAAGGCATAAGGACTCAACAATACTTACCTGATTAAAAATTAGAGGACAATTTCCAACTACGAAACTACTGATTCTAGCAAGTTCACCTTTAAATTGGTGGCAACCGTTGGATCGTAATTAGACGCTGGAGATGAAAGGAAGTCACGCTAAAGTCGCTGGAGTCTGCGTCCGAAGAACTCTCCTGCGTTCAGACTTGTTTGCCGTTTCTCTCCTCGCGTTCGCTTGGCGTGCGCGACGGCTAGGGCGACCGCCGCCCTACGCCCAGCCGCCCATGTCTTCTTCGGGCCCGTTGCCGGCGGGGGGAGCCCACCACACCAGGTCTGCCAGCTCCTTCTCTTCCCTTCCTGCTGTGCAAAATTGAGCACTCGAACCCTAACTTGAGCTATTTAGCTATTTGTATTCGGATCTGATCTAATCAAAAGTGTGTACATGTATTATGCCTACTAACTTCGATTTTTGTTTTATCACCCATATCAATTGGGTCCATGGTTATGTGATCTCGCAGTCACAGTTAGAAAGTGGAGTTCAGTGTGAGAATAAATCGATTCTCTGTAGCATTCTTGTGCGTTTGCTGATCACTCTGTTGATCTCATCAGTTGATAATCCGCTTAGTTCTTTTCGTAGGATTTCTGATCTAATACTGCGATTTCTGTATTGCTTCTCATTATGTAGAGTTGTTTGAATGTTAAACGATCAATTAATGCCTCCCTTGTCTTGTTGTATAGGCTGTCATTTTCGTCAGCTTTGTACCTTGCTACATGTATCTGCTTATGATCATTTGCTTATGGTTGTCTTTATATTCTCAATATTGTTCAGGAATCGTGCAAACAGTCGGCGCAAGTCTGGAGGTACATCTCTTGCAATAAATTAGATACATTTGGATAGTCTTTTTAGGCACTTGATATGTTTTCCTTCAGCTTGTTTGCGGAGTTCATATAACGCATAATGTCCCACCGATTTAGTAGTTGATATGGTCTGACTCATTTACTGGGTTTTATTATGCATTTCTTTAGAGGCAACAAAATGTATTTCATTATGCTTTTAGGCACATGCTATTTTTTTTTTCTTTGTGGTTTGTTGGGTTGACGTATAAGGGGTCCTACTGTTCACCAATTTAGTCAAGATGATCTGATCCAGTATTTGGGTGTTCTGATGTCAAATACTGGCTTTCTAAGTTAGTCTGTGAATATGTTTAGAAATCTCCACATAGTTCAATAATTGTGGTTGCTCTGCTTCGAATGGACAGACGATTAGTTTCGGCTTCCAAATTCGTAAGAACAGAAGGATCCTTTAATAACAAACTAACATTCTTGTGTGAACTCACACACACCAAAAAGTTACTCAATGCATTTACTTACAACTGTAAAAAAAAATGTAAAACTGAAGACACCCGCAACCACAGTATCTATAATTAACCACTTTAAGAGAGAAAGTTGTTGTTTGTGTTGTACTTGAATGATCATCACTGGTGGCTTTTCCGAAACCTTATGTTTGTTGTTTGCACTTAGAATTTTCTGTTTACTGTATTTTTTTAATGGTTATCACGTCTCTTAATGTGCCACTGCTATATATTAAGTTGTTAGGCAGTCCTGTTCATCTCGCTTATGACACTTGTAATTGTTATTCCACCAAACAGATAGGGCCGATAGGGCTAATTACTCCTACAACAATGATGGGGAGAAGAGTCATGTTCCTTCATTAAAGAACCTTCCTCCAATTGTTCATCATGAAACATTCTTCAGCAATGTTCAGAATGACTACAATCAAACAGGATTAGTGCCTTTGGAGGGATGTTCTGCCAGTGAGGCTTCACAGCTTCTCAGTGACCGTATGTATCTCTGCAAAACTGCACACTCTTATTTTAAAATGTATGTGCCAGAAGTTCTAACTTTTTGAACACTCAGAGGTGCTGCATGCTACTACCGTGTAGTACTCTTACATTGTAATAGGGTTGGAGAGTCACTTCTGTGATAACCTTAGGGGGTTGCCTTCCCAGTGTCCACATACTCAAATTTGCAATATGCAAGACAACTTATGGAACACCTGTAACCTTTGATTTCATTCTTGGTTTTCTGTTTGTGTGTTCTACATTTTTGAATATCAAGTTGGGTGCTCCTTTAGTCCATTACTATTTCTTTCATTAACTTAGTTATTGTTCACTTATAGTAAGCCTTTATTCTGACTCTGTAGGTTGGACTGCTGCAATGAACATGTACAATGACCAAACAATTGACCCATCAGGTGAGTCCACATAGTACTCTAAACTCTATATTTCTCCATGGTTACTGATAAAACGAATATTCCAGTCTTTAATGTTAGAGAAGTGAGAACCACTCTGGCAGTGAGGAGAAAAATTGGACCTTACTAGTTACTTTCTTGTATGTTATTACATGCATGACAACTTGAAAGTTGACATTATATTCTTTTGCTTTGCTCCATCTATTGCAGCGGTCTTAAGAATTGAGAATGTCATACACTCATACTGGGTAGAGGGTTATGTGCATATACTCTGCTGCAAATAGAACTAATATGTTCATATTGGGTGGAGAACTAGAGATGCTGTAGTGTTATATACAATATCATGCTCTGCAACATTAAATAACAGTAGTCAAACAAAGTTGGGAATCGGTTTTCTTAGGGCATGCTACCTGGAAAGGTGTCTCTTGATCAAATGGGAATTTCAATAGCATGTTATAAATAATATATTCTGGTGAACTTATCATATCAACCTGACACCTCAGGTAGATTTCTGTGTCACAGTGTGAAACATGAAAAAAAAGGGAAACATGTTAACTTTGCTATCTTGATGTTTGCCCAGAGAAACCAGTAATGTATTCGGGATCTAGCAGCTCATCATGGGGTCACCTGAAGCTTCCTCATCAGGTATGACTTGGAGTAAAATTCTTGCTATGATGTCCTCCTGTCGTTTTGCAAATTGCTGTATCCTAAGTGCTTTCTGGATCTTATTGGGATTATAGATGAACTTCCTTGAAGAGTTGCGCCGTGCACTGGACGCTCATACAGAAGTTGCATCGCCTGTCGACACCTGGAACTAATTGAAGTCAGCATTTGCATCATTATGGGTTATGACTAATTTACGGAAGGCAGGCTATTCGCCAGGTCTATGTATGTTGTATCTCATTACACGGATGATGTGCCAAAAGGCTTTCGTCTGACCTGCAACTGCTTGGGTTTCTTCTGGAATCAGCATTTGTACAATGGTACCATTGTTACCCCTGGCCTTATAGCTGCAAAGCAGCTTGTTGTAGTATCAGTTAAATGCGGCGCTGGATACTCACGCCATTGAAAGTTTGAAACAGCTTGGTTGTTGTATGGTAATTCGAAGAAGACTTGGTGTCATATGCCATTTTTCTCGACTTGGAGTGCTAGAATATTTAGAAGGTAATGCTTATTGAAAACCTCATTTTAACTTTAATGGTACTTTTCTGTGCGCTAAATCACCTGATGTTCAGAGCTTAATTGGCGGATGGTTAAGCGGTAGTGGGAAGTATGTATCAGATGTTCCGATGGGTACAAGACATTAGAAGCAATAACAACTGTCATGGTAAATCAAAGCCGTCGTCGTCCCTTCCCCTTGCTGGTTCGCTGGCGGCTGGTTATCAATTCCATCCAACCAGAGTTAAAACTGCGTAGCAGCAGTAGTAGTAACAATCTACTGCCAACTGCTTGAGGATTGAGTTGGAAAAGTTGTTCAACTAATATTCCGACAGAGCCATATGCAGTTCTACGTTTTCATTTCCTCTTTTTACTATTGGTTTTGTGATATGTTTTGATACTACATAGTCAGCAAGCGTAATTAATGTGCTGACATGTTCATGCTTGGTGCGTCGGCATGCTTGCGATATTTCCGTTATTACTGTTTCTACCGTGCGGTGGAATCGGCGGGACCCGTGGCTCAACGTTCCATGGCAACAGCAGCGACATGCTCTCCCTTCTCGACTTCAAGAACACCATCACCGGCGACCCAAAAGGTGCTCTGAGGTCGTGGAACGCAACGCAACCACCCCTTTCTGCCAGTGGAGCGGCGATTTTTTTTTTAAATAATATTTTTTAATAATTAATTACAAATCTAAAAACTGTTATATAAAAATTTGACGTATAGCAGCCTGTCGACTGATCAACGGCCGATAGGACACATGTCAACTGCTGGCTAGCCGATAGGCATACGTGGCGCACACACCCACCAAAATAGCCTGTCTTCACCTACAGAGACCCTGTCGGCAGCTGGAAGGTCGACAGTTCAGTCGGCATTTGGTACGCCGACAGCCCAGTTGCCGGTACAACTGTCCGGAAACATGCGGCCGACAACTCTATTTCATGCTGTATTCCTTCTTTTCTAGACACAACCATCACCTGATGTGATACTTTTTGACGAACACAACCATCTCCGCCTAGAATACTCGATGCAAAGACATATCCTTTTACGTTTTAATTGTCCTTTGCCTCGATGCAGGCGAGGGATTATATTGGAGCGTTGCCTCCATTGCAATAGTGCGCACATTAGTTCATTAGTTCGCATCAGAAATCCAAGAGTACATTAGTTCGCATGCATACATCCATGCTAGCATACAACCATATAGTCCTACACGCTTAACTTACACGACGACCACGCTTAGGTGCCTGCGCACCTCGGTGACGAACCTACACCGTTGCTGGCATTTCTTAGCATCACTACCAAGTTTAGAGTTAGAGTCCATCCCTAGTAGTGGCGCCATAAACGTCTGTTGGTATTTCTTCGTATCATCACTAAGATTGAGTAAACCTTAGCGACGCCGCCAAGAAATACCAACTACGATAGCTCTTAACGATTATAGAAATAATATCCGCAAGCGCACGGATCTATCGTTGTAGCATTTCACCCGGAAGTATTTAGGGTATTGTTATTTATATTTTTTCAAAGGAGGGCAAGGTATAAAGAGTCTAGCATGGATATGAACAAGATTTACATATTTGTATAGTGAACCAATAGTCTATGACAGGGGTAAAAATGATATTTCAAGGATAGTGGACACACACTTGGGCCAACCTCAAGGATTAAAAGCAAAATAAAGAATAAAAGAATGTTCCTAAGTGAAACAGGCATGTTCTAATATAGCTGTGCAAAGAATAGTTAACGATCATACAAATCACGTTATTAGAGTTAGAATTAAGTGTAAGATGGATGGAGAGATCTCCGGGCACTGGTCTGCCAGCAAGCTAGGGAGACTTTAAGACTCCTACACAATACCCGAAAGTGGGGGATTACAAGGGACGGACAGGGCTGTTACCATCTATCGTCAACTCCTCAACCGAGGAGTACCGTCATATCCGAAGGTTCCCGTGCACCCGGGCACCACGGGCATGTACAAAGAAACTACCCATATCCCCCTAGGTCTTCGACCCTACGGATCGACAAGCATAAGACATGGACAAACTCGAAGGAATAACGAACTGCCACCTCAATATAGCTCTACCTCTACTCATACAAGTTATATGAATGGTTAAGCATAAAGTTCTACATGTTAAGCTCATAACGCACAAACTATATGCTAGTTCATATGTTAAGATTATAACATGAAAACTATACTCTAGTTCTACAGGACAACTATATTGTAGATATGAGAGCAAGCCTTAGGAAGAAATCTTTATAGTATTCATACCAAGATGTTTCTCTTCTTCCAAGGAGCCAAGCTCTCCTGGATAGCTTTGCCTTGCTTATAAAAGTACTATTAAAAGGTAAAAGATTACATACAAGAGAGGTTTGAGGTGTTTGGCTCCAAATGAGGTGTGTGTTGAGTATGAATTCCACCCCTACATTTATACCACCCTATGGTCGGTTTTGGCGCTAGTAATTTAGGAAACCACCATGAGCCGCCTTTGCATGCCGCCATGCAACCGCCGGAGCAAGGTGGGCCCGAGAGGCGGTGGTGGGAGTGCAGGCACACCCCTGGTGTGGCCACACCAGGGCTGGCATGCTCGCCACCACCTTACTCCGGTGGGTTGCTGGCTGGGCCTGAGTAGCTTCCTCGGTGGTGCTTGGCCTAGTTTTGGCTTGTAGGTGGGCTTTTGATTAGCTCCTTTGCGCTTTTCTGCTTTACGTTTTCTTATGTTGCGCCTTTTCATCATATTCCCATGTATTTCATGCGTATGTCCTGCAAAACGCTAAGTATCCGATACATGTGAAAATATGTCAATAGTAAATGCATATGTCAAAAGTTTGTTTATTTCTTCTGTTTTGGATATTATTTGGCGGTCAGATATGGTCGTTAAGGACCGCCAACAAATCCCCCAAGCTTACCCTTTGCTCATCCCAAGCAAATAGCTAAGTACTTGGTCGTTGATCAGGAGTTGCTACTATGCCAAATACATTTCATAAGTGCCATGCCTATAACAAAGTATTCTTCCGCAATTTAAATAAGTTGACATTTTTATCCACCCTTTACCTTGATCCCTATGGGGCGTATAGCTTTTCCAAGTTCTTGGGCAGTTGCAAGATAGAACAGTTATAACAGAATCACCAATCGTTCATTCTTTGATCAACTGTCTATCCGGAGGTTTTATGAGTTTTGCAAAATATAAGTTCCTCAAATGATTCTCTCGATCGTTCAATGTGTATGAAACCTCACCAAGGCATTTTGATATTTTACCTTCTTTTTCATCCTACCACTAAAGGATTTTTGTGGAGTTTTGGGTAGGTATGAAATTGAGGTATACTTGCATCGCAAATTTTGCTAAGTAAAAAATCGGACCTCAAGGAGATGCAAGTCATACACTTTGATCAAGATATGCAAGTGTGTGGATTTTTTATAACTTCCTAATTCTAAATATTTTTGGTACTCCTTTGAATCATGAATATCTCTCTTTTTGGATGAATGCCTTTTATTTGAAAGTATGGGCTATCTTTCTTTCTTTCTTTCTTTCTTTCTTTCTTTTCTTTTCTTCATGCTCTTTGGTATGCAGTTTTTTCTCTCATGCCTTTTGGCATAGATATTTTTCTCTCTTTTTTAGCATAGCCTATACTATTCTTTTTGGCATATGAAACTTTGAAAGAGAGACTCATGATAAACGAATGGAGTGATTATTTGGTGGACGAAATAAGCATGTTTTTGCATAACTCTCAGTGTAAAAGTTAGCAGTTTATTTGTGGGTGTACGTGTGTCTTGATCATAGGTGCATGACGATAATCTCAACAAGGGTCACAACAATTTGATAAAGCTCAATGCTCAAACAAATAGCATATGACCAAGGTTTTGTATGTATATCATGTCATATGGCATTGGTAGGTATTCATAATCATTGAAGAACTTTGAATTTTAGCATTTTGAAATTGAAAACTCTGGATCTCTAGCCTCTCTTAGAACAAAATCATAGCTAATTTTATTTGTACCATATCATAATTCGTAACAACTTAGAAAAGGAGCATGCGTAGTCTCTCTTACAACAAAATCATAGCAAATTCTATTTGTACCATATCATAACTCGCAACAACTTAGAAAAGGAGCATGCTTTTGCAACCCATAAGTTTTCAAGTTTCAGGATGAGACATTTTTAGCCAACAAACTTAAATTTTAGGGAATACTAAGTTATAGCCTGGCACAGATAAATTATAGACAGAGCAAATATTTATCATTTCAACATAGGAGAAACTAAATATTCTTAAAACACATATGAGAGTGGAATTCATATTTTTGGTATTTTTATCATATTTCATTTTTTGGTATTTTTAATATTATTGATTTTTAAATGCTAATAATTAAATAAATGCAAAAAATAAATGCAAAAATTTAAAAATGCGAAAAATAAAAGATACAAGTTACCTCTGCGGGGTCCTCCCCCAAGCTGGCTCATGGCCTATGGTCTGGGATTGTATCTCATGGATCGTCAGTAGGCCACCTGCACGTTGTGCTGTTACTTCAACAGCGCGTCCATTTGTGCCATCTGTTGCTGCTGCTGAAGCTGCCACTGGATCGTGTCCTGCACATGAGTGTTAAGTGTATTTTGTATTTTACCTGTGCGGATCTCTAATCCTCCGAGGCGGGTGTTGATGCCGTCTAGCTCGTGACGATCCAAAGTAGACTGTCGTTGTTGGATGGGTGGTGGTAGTCTCTCAGAGTCGAAGGAGTAAGCATGTCTCCATGCTGCATCGTTAGCCTCATGCCATCCTGATCCACCGGCCTTGTGTGGTTACGGGGTGTGACCCCAGCCAGGCTGGTACCCGGGTGTGAACCCAGGCATCTACATGGCCGAGAACCACTTTGCATGGTACGCCTGAGGCAAGTGGTGTCGGTGGCTGATGAGAGTTGCGTG